GTGGTTCATATCTAACGTCAGTTAGTCAAATGTTTGTCTTAGTATATAGTATACCTTTCCATGCGTAAAGAACATTGACAAATCACTTCCAGATACACTAAAACATCTGTAACATAATAATACAGTAATAATAATAATGTTTTAGTGTATGTCGCAAAGTAGCACCTGTTTGTTATTACAAACCATTTTAGGTACCTCAAATTTTTAATATAATAGGCTTTACGGTGGTTGATTTGTAACTAGGATTGTACTTAAGTCGAATGTTCATAACCTGGAGACTGCTTATATTTGTTCTTACGTCAGTTTCATTCTCTTAATCTTCTCAATGTTGAAGTTCTCGAATTTCGTAGAGTAGGAACCTAATACTTTTTGAACACTTTTTCTAATCAAACACCATGCTTTACATACTATATTGCTTTTAATGTGTATATGTACAAGCAATATAAAAGTAGGGAGTCCTGGAGGCGCAGTGGTTAAGCGCTCGGCTGCTAATTGAAAGGTCAGTGGTTCAGACCCACCAGCCACTCTGTGGGAGAAAAATGTGGCAGTTTGCTTCCGTAAAGATTTACAGCCTTGGAAACCCTATGGGGCAACTCTACTCTGTCCTCTAGGGTCCCTATGAGTCAGAATCACCTTGGAGGCAAAGGGTAGTATGAGGGTATCATCCCCATTTTAGAGATTATGAAATGAGATTCTGAGAGGTTTTGTAACTGCCCAAAGGAATATGGTAGTTAACCCAAGTTAACTACTCAAATTCAGCTTTGTCCATTTCTCAAGTCTTGCTTTTTAGAAGTTATTATCAGAATGATTAGAGTTCAGCAGATCAGAGTTCAAACAAATCTGATAACTCTCCATGCTTCTTTTATTTATTACTTTCCCACATCATCTCTCTATGGATTTGGAGTAGCAGCTCATTCTTTACTCTAAAGTACATAATTTTCATCCCTTAAAATAAGTAGCTCATGCTTCTGTAAAATTTCCCTAGAATAATTGTAGCAATGTGGTTTCCCCTTCACTCGGATACCTCTCTCCTACTGTCTATTGTATTTTTCCTGAGGTTCTACACAGAATTGGGCATTTGCCTATGCCTTATTTGTCTCATTGAACACAAAGCAGCTAGTAGAAATGATAAAATATTATTGAAAAATAAAACTGTCAAAATATGGTGATTTGAACAATTAATAATATCTAATTAAAAAAATTGAAGCATATGGTTCCTTAGTTTTTAATATTTTTCAAGGCATTTTATAACTTACCTATGAATGTTTGTTTTTTGAAAAATTTATATAGGAACTTAACATCTCAAAGAACAGTGCATTTCTATTATGTAAGGTGGATTGGACAGTAGCCCCAACCGATATTACAGTGTTTTGTATTGCAACTATCTCTTTAAGACCTGATTTTAGACAGTCTGAAGGAAGATCTGACAAGTCTGTATGACAGCTTCAAACTGAGCAAGTGCAAGGTAATACTTTTAGAGAAAAATTATTCAAACTTTAGTAATGGAATTCTGTTTTATAGCACTGATTTCTAATCTAGAACTTGGCTGGTTTGAGAATTTAAAAAGGTTTAAAGCTGCTTTTTGAGGAGAAATCTGTGTTTACCTATAGATATTTTTGCAGATCACTTCTTTGTATAGATGTGGGGTGGTCCTCATCCAGGCAAATATTTTAACCAGACATTTCTTTGACTTATTTACCTGGTACCTAAACCATTGATCTTCAACCTGGGGTACATGTGCCTCTGGGGGCAGACAGAAGTTTTCTAAGAGGTAAACAGGTACAAATGTCTTTAAGGGAATTAGTTTTTAGACGTACACTTTTTCTGAAAATTTATCTCCCAAGAACAATGTAAAGTTTCTGAATTTTAAAGAAGAGCTTTTTCATATATTTTCTAAAATGGATGATGGTGACTGTCAAATTGCTGTAGTATTTAGATTCCATTAAATACATTTAGTAAAGTGTTATAACATTTTTATTTTAATGGTAATATTTATAATATGCTGGAAATTATATTATTTGCAAGTATTAAAATCCATGATGAAAACTTTCAGTTGTCAATTTAAATGTGTGAGAGAGTATATAGTTTTATAAAAATTTTTAAAGGGATATGTGAACAAAAATGTTTGAAGACCACTGATCTAGAGCAAGGTTTCTCAACCTTGACACTATTGACGTTTTGAGCTGGGTAATATTTTTGTTGTAGGGAGGCTGTTCTGCACATTATAAAATGTTTAGCAGCATTCCTGGCCTCTACTCCCCTAGATGGCCAGTAGCATTCCCCAGTGGTGACAACCAAATGTCTCCAGATATTGCCAAATGTTCCCTGGGGAGCAGAATCACCCCCAGTTGAGAAGTACTGGTCTAGAGCGTATTGATCTCCTTTCAGTCTGTAACATAGAGCACATATTTGCATTTTAGATGTTTGCTAATAATCTCCACTTTGGGTTGTCTACAATAAAGCTCTAGTCAAAAGCATGACCTAAGATGTTAGATTTTTAAGAGATATGCTCTAAAGAATGTGATAATAATTCATTCACAAAAATAAATAAATTTAATCCCTGTATCAAGTCAAATGACCCAACAACTTCATACCAATTGTCTGGCAACTCTTTGTAGACCTTACCATTATACCCTTGCTTTTATCTGGAGTCAGTATAAGAAATGGCCACGTGGAAAACGTCTCTATTCTTTTTTAAAAATTCTTATGGAAGGCATTCTCTATTATGTTATGCTCCTTATATCATGAAACAAACCAAGTTCCTACAATTGTTCAAAAGCGAATTGGTACGCTTTCTTTCTATTACTCCACAATAGCTATGTAAAGCTTTTTGCCTTAACTGTCAGGAAGCTCTGAGCTAAATTTGTTGCTCAATTGCAGTGTCTTGCCTTAGCTCAATTTCCTAATATAATAATTTCTTCACTCTCCCTATCCCCTTCATTTTATTACATTTTTCTTTTTTGAATATGTTTTATTAAATCTGTACCTTTATTGTAAGTACCTTCTTGTCTTAGAGATTTGAATATAATAGATAAATTTTATAAGATGGTATAGTTTGAACTATTGTAAACCCAACAAAAGTGCAGAAATCCTTATAGAGTTCTTTCCTGGCATGATTTTTTCAATGTACTACTCTGGCCTAAAAACGGACAATGAAGATTAAATAGAAAATACCACCTTCCTCTCATATACAACTCTGGATTCTTTGTATGTTTTCTTAGATTATTATATGAAGTTATACTTGCATTTTCTCCAAACAAAAACAAAAACTGGGATTGTTGATGCTAAACAAAGAGATGAGCATATGCTGAAACTCACCTAACAACATTAGTGCCTTTCAGTCTAAAATGGTAAAGGAGGAAAGGGCACTGCCTTGGTCTGGATTCTCTAGAGGAGCAAAACCTGTGAAGGGTATATAGATATATACAGAGAAATTTACTTCAAGGAAATGGCTCACACAATTGTGAGGAAATGGCTCATGCAGTTGTGGGGGCTGGCAAGTCCCGATCTGAGGGCCAGGAAACAGGCTGAAGACCTCTGCTGGTTCACATGATTACAAGGGCTGAGGATCCAAAATCTGCAGATCAGGCAGCAGGCTGAAGGCCTCTGCTGGCTCACAGAATTGCCAGGGTTGGCGAATCCAAAATCCGTAGGTCAGGTGGCAGGCCAGAGACTTCTGTAGACTTATGTCCCAAGAACTAGAGGTCAGGCGACGAGAAGAGTGCAGGGATGAGAAAGAGAGTGAGCTTCGCCAGAACATCCATCTGTATACTGGAGGCAGGCCACACCCCCAAGGAAACTCCTCTTTCAACTAATTGGTTACTCACATCAGATCACAGGGTGGAAGGTGATTACATAGTGTTTGCCAAACCACTGAGTATCATAGCCTAGCCAAATTGACACACAGCATTTACCATCATAGCCTGTAACATTTATTGAATACCTACTATATGCTGTGCCCTGTACTAAATAATTTATACCTTATTTAATCCCCACAATGGTCCTATGAGATAGATGATTTTAGTGTCCTTTTTACCTGTAAGGAATCCCAGGTTCTGAAAGGGGTAATGCCCAGATAAGAAACTAGATCATTCTCATTCCAAACTTCTGACTCTTTACATTATGAGGCTATAAATTCTTTAGGACAGTGTTTGCCTGGCACATACTAAGCTCTGACAGTTTTAGTTCCTCTTATTATGTCACCTGAGGTCTGAATAAAGATCAGAATTGCTAAATGCTGAAATAATATACTACATCAAATTTTGGAGAAAGTCTAGAAACAAATACATTTAGAATAAATAAAAAGAGCCTTAATGTATGACAGCCATTTTCTACAAGCGTTGATATAAGCTGGAAATACAAATTCAGATAATGTTAAAATAATGGATAAATTACCTAATGAGTTACCAACAAAAACTCAGCAAGTATCCTTTATCCTTGAGATGAAGTAGAAAGCCAGTTGTGGTGGAGTCAGTTCTGACTCATGGCATTCCCATGTGTGTCAGAATAAAACTGTGCTCGATATGGTTTTCAGTGGCAGATTTTTCAGAAGTAGATCACCAGGCCTTTCTTCCAAGGTGCCTCTGGGTGGACTCGAACCCCCAACCTTTGATTATCATCTGAGTGCTTTAACTATTTGTACCACCCAGGGACTTCTGAGATGAAGCAAAGGGCAGTAATATTGTGCAGTGCTTTCCTTGCCACCTTTGCCAGAGGCAGGAGGTAGAACTAGGTAGGCCGTGCAGTCTAACCCATTGTGTCAATTCTTATATTTAGCGTTAAGAGACCAGCATATAATATTACCTCTATCTTGTTTATGAATACACATATACCATAGTTTTTCCTGTGTAAATTAAAGCCTCATGTCAGGTGCTGTGTCGGGAGGTGGTTTGTCATAACATTGTATTTCCTTACGTACTTTGCTAGTCTTAGAAAAAACATAATTGCATATCTTTTATACAGGAAAAAAAAAAAATGATTTCTTGACTTTCTTCCTTCAGTTCCATGTTTTCCAGCACCCAACATAACTTGTAAGGACTTCAGTGGCAATGAAACACATTTTACTGGAAGCGAAGTTGGTTTTCTTAAGCCCATATCTTGCCGAAATGTGTAAGTGTATTGCTGAAGTTTAAATTTTCAGATTACTTGCCTATGTGATATCTTGAATGCACAGACTGAAGAGACAAAGAGTTAACTTGTGGGGAACATCCTGCACTAATATAACTTTTCACTTATGTCAGAAAATCTCTATTTTAAGTGTGCATGTTTTTTTGTTAATAAATGTGATTTTCCAACCGAGCTGAGATAAAGACTATAAATGGCCTCATGTCGTGTAAATTCAGATTAGTGTGTCACCAACTGAATTATGAAAAAATTCTATTTTCAGAATTTTGGGGATTTCTAGAGTGCAAATAAGGAATTGTGTACTTGTATTAGAGGAGCGCCAACAATTGTTAATCATTTACGCATTAACGGCATTTTGAAAACTCAGTTTCATACTTTGTAATAGATGGAGATGATGAATGGTAATGTTAAACAGAATTCAGAAGTTACCAGTTTGGGATATTATGATAAATGGCTCTGTCTTGTTAGGAATGTTCTCTGTTTAAAGGACTTTTGAGTTTGCTTTTTATATTTGCAACAGTAAAATTTCTACTTTGTACTAAAAACATGATTTAGTTTTATCCATTCTTATTACTTTCTGGCACTATATTTTATCTTATTATTGTATATTGTTACAGTTTATCTGATGGTACTTCTTTTAAGCACTGTTTGCAATTGTATCATTGCTATTTCTACACGTTCTATTAGAATTCTTAGAAAGAACCATTAGAGTCCTTTTTTTTTTTTTTTTGATCCTACTTGGTTGAGTTAATGAGGGATTTTAGATTCTGTCTTGCTGTGTAATCCTAAACCAATCACTTAAGCTTCTTGGGTCCAAGATTTCTCATTAGTAAAGTAAAAATTGTTAAAAGGAATTATTTTCAAAATACTTAGATGATTTAGTTAATTTTTAAATTTATGGATTGATATTTCTACCTTCAATATTCCAAACTACAAATAATAATTAAGTGCTGGTCCAAGATATCAGAGGTTATAATACAGCATTTAAGAAAATCATCTGTTGAGAGTAGCTAGCCATTCAGGTTGGACCTTTACAGGTTCATATTGCATTTGTTGGTCACCACAGTTGTCTGTGACTTAATATCCAAGTTAACTCTGATTTTTCTTTCAGTGTGTCAGGGTAGATTAGGCTCAGCACTACTGAGTTGCACTAATCATTATCATGCCCCTAAGACATTGATGTCAATTATGATAAGAAATATAACCATCAAGGAAACCAGATACTCCAAGTCTACTGGTCAGCGTTTTCCCTTCCTATCATAAAACCTACAATTCCAGAATAGAATTTGCTTGATATGTATTGAATCAGAACAAGAGGAGTTAGACTGATGGATAATTTTAATGGTAAGAGTCACAAAACTAAGATAACCCGGTATATCCTTTTCCTTTATCAGGATATTCAGTACATGGCCTACCAAAGGGTCAGCTACTGGTCAGTGATCTAGTGTCCTATAGACGCTACTGAATAAAGACCCACTGACAAATTCTTATTCTTTGGGTGTCCCCTTTCCAGTTTATATATTATCCTCCTACTCCTGTTAGTATATTCTTTTTCAAATTGTATATAACATTAATAATTAATTAAAACTCCATCTTTAATATTCTAAGTATGACCATTCTATAATGCATTTTCCAGAAATTGAGGCCTGGTAACCATATCTGATTACCAAGGCAGCCAGTTATTTATTAGTCAGAGTAGGCTAACTGCAGTAACAGATGTCTCCATAATTTTAGTGACTTAACGTAAGTTATTGCTCACATATATCACAGTCTAATTTGGGTTGGCTCAGGAGTTAGGATGGGGTGAAGGGATGATGGTTGCTCCACGCAGTCTTGCAGGAATCTGCTCTTTTCATCTTGTGGCTTTCCTTCCTGTATTCCTTGGAGTCCATTCAGCAGCAGGTGGGAAAACCTCTTGCAGGAAGGTTTTATGGGCCAGACGTGGAAATGGCATACATCACTTCTGTCCTTATTCCATTGGGCAAAACTCAGTCATGGCTGCTCTTAACTGCAAGGTGGGCTAGGAGACGTAGTCTAGCTGTATTCCAGAAGAAAAATTGAAATGGTTTGGGAAATAACTAGATAGTCTCTGCCACACCTCCAATTTTCATATCATTCATTAGAGTGATTTACTTATGTAGATAATTGCTTTTTTAATTTCATTCCCCTTTCCAGCCAAGATTCTTGAAAGAATTGTTTCTGTAATACTTACCTTTCATGAATTTCTTTGTCTAGTGCAGTATGGGTTTTGGCCATACTAAAATTTACCTATGATCTTTGTTATATATTACTATAATCAAATGGATACAGTGCATATCTTAATCTTTCTAAAGCATATGGCTATTCTTTTTTCAAAATACCTTCTTTCCTGGACTGATATCTTAGTCATCTACTGCTGCTATAACAGAAATACCACGAGTGGATGGCATCAACAAACAGAATTTTATTCTCTCACAGTCTAGTAGGCTAGAGGTCCAAATTCAGGGCATCAGCTCCAGGGGAAGTCTTTCTCTCTGTTGGCTCTGTAGGAAAGTCCTTGTCATCTGTGTTCCCCTGGACTAGGAGCTTCTCTGCATAGGAACTCTGGGTCCAAAGGACATACTCTGCTCCTGGTGCTTCTTCCTTGGTGATATGAGGTCCCCATCTCTCTGCTCACTTCCCTTTCCTTTTATCTCTTGAGAGATAAAAGATGGTGCAGGCCATACCCCAGGGAAACTCCCTCTACATTGGATCAGGGATGTGACCTGGGTAAAGGTATTACATCCCTCCCTAATCCTGTTTAACATAGTTTAATCTTGCCTCATTAACCACAGGCAGAGATTAAGATTTATAACACAGGAAAATTACATCAGTCACAAAATGGAGGACAACCACACAATACTGGGAATCATGGCCTACCCATATTGACACATATTTTTGGGGGACACAATTCAATCCATGACAACTGATAACATGTAATACTCCTGTATTTCCTTTGATTCCTGTTCCTTTGCTTGTTCTGTAAATTTTGATATCTCCAAGACTATATACCTTGGTCCTTTTCGCTTTTTCATGCATCCACCAGTTTGGCTTCTGTCACAGTCTTTGTGTATCTTAAGGTCCCAAACTGAATCTATTATTTTTTCCTTCCAATCATTTTCTCCTTTCTCTTACTGAATGGCACCTTTTTTTTTAATTGTTGTAAATATATATATAACACATTTGCCAATACAACTAACCTGAATTGTAAACTTTCACTTAAAACTACAACAATAATAATAATAATAAATAATATGTTTATGTTTATTACTTGCCACATCTAGATTATAAACTTCACAAAGGCAGGGATCTTTGTCTCTTGTTCATTAATCTATCCCAAGAGCCTAGAACAGTGCCTGGCACGTAGTAGGCACCCAAAAAGCATTAATCGAATGAATGAATGAATAAACAAATAAATAATAATTAACTATTTTATTTTCTAAAATGTTTACATGTTGGAAATATATGACTTTGACACTCAGGTTTTAATTTTACAGAAATGGATATTCCTACAAAGTGGCAGTTGCTCTGTCTCTTTTTCTTGGATGGTTGGGAGCAGATCGATTTTACCTTGGATACCCAGCCTTGGGTGAGTATTTTTTATTTAAAAAAAAATCCTTGTAAAACTTGTGTTTTAGGTAAATGTACTTATTCTTATAGATTAAATCTCTGTATATTATTAACATTTGAAGTTCTGTGTAACTGGGGTTGAATGGCTAATGTTCTTCTGTTGAGTACAGAGCTAGCCGTTAGCTCTACAATTCAGCTTCAATAAGAAATACTGACTTTCCTTTCCTGGATTTTTACTTTTATGAAAACACACTCCATGTACCTAGGCATTCACTTAAGATAATAGTCTTGAGCTGTTACTGCTAGTGCTAGGCACATAGTGGGTACTCAAATATTTTATGAATAAATGTATATCCCTCCAAAATTAATGTTTTCTTCTATTTGAACGTCTGTCACTGTAACCTTGTGAATAGAAACTACCACTTTCAGGACAAGCTGAGATTGGAACTGTGGCTGCCAGCATGAGCTGGTGTGGGAGCCTGGATTTTATCACTTTAGCATCACTTCCCCAGACCTTCCTCCTAGGTATAATCTTCACATTTACCACAGTTACTAATGATTATAAAAACTATTTACATTTAGCTATAGCTTTTTTTTAAACAACACTTTCACATGCCTAACCTTATTTAAACCTTACAACTCTCTGCGTTTTATCATCCTCTTTAACAGGTAGGGAAATTGTCACCGAACAGGTTAAGTGATTTACTGACTCTAGAGGCCTTGCTTTATTCTGTGACATATTTGTTGTTATCCTTGTTTTATGGATAGGGAAATTGTCACAAGATTAAGAGATTTACCCAAGGACACTTAGCTAGTGACCTGAATTTGAACCCACATTTTCTGGCTCCAGAGATCATGCTTTATTTACTGTAATCCCTTGCCTCTGTATTAGCCCTCACTGAGCAAATTTAAAGTTTATGGATCCTTTGCTCTAGCTAGGGGATAGCTAACCATATTCCTTCCATATTGCTACCCACCAGGAATCAAAAAAGAATCTTCATTTGGGGTTGGTGGGAGGTGTGCTTCTGACAGCCTTACTTGGACCTCAGTGTTAGAATGTTAAGTACATACACTAATTTATTGAGACAACAAACAGTTATTCAGTTTACTGCATGCTAAATAAGTAACTAAATTACTTATTAATGACTAATGTGGAAATGATGATGAAGATCACTGTGCACATTGGCTAAGAAGAAAATAAATATGAAATAAAATAAGTATGTTGCTAGGCCAGTTTATGACATAGCACTATAACTGAACTGTAACAAAGTGATATGAGAGCACAGAAAAGAGACTGATTCAGTCTGTCTGGGGGTGTGAGGGAGGACTTCTCAGATGACATTTGAGCTAGATTTTGAAGGATGAAGATATTGTTATAGGAAACAGCATGTACAAAGGCACAGGAGTATGAAGAAAGAGAATATGTGTGTGTTCAAAGAATAGTGGATAATTTAGCCTATGGTAGGAAGTACAAGGCCTCTAGGAGGCCCAAATGGTTTGTGCTCAACTACTAACCTAAAGGTTGGCTGTTCGAACCACCCAGCAGTGCCGCAAAAGAAAGGCCTGGTGGTCTGCTTCTGTAAAGATTACAGCCAAGAAAATCCTATGGATCAGTTCTACTGTGTAACACATGGGGTCACCATGATTTGGAATTGACTCAACAGTAAAGGGTTTTTTTGGATTTTTTTTTAATAGTAAGGGTAGTATTAGGAGATGAAGTTGTCTAGACGGGTAGGTAGTAGTCAGATGTGAAAGACTTTGAGTGTCTTGCTATGGAATTGGGACCTAACCCTCTATGCCTCTATGCTTGAGGTTTTAAGCAAAGGAATGTCATGGTCAGATTTATATTTCAAGAAGACAATATTGAGGAATTGTGGAAAATGACTTAGAATGGAGAAAGGCTGGTGGCAGAGTAAGCTGAAAGGTTGATGCCACAGTCCTGGCATGAATGATAGTGTAACTACACTTTCATGCCATTCATTATAGCAACCATACCTTTCCCTAACAGTTAAACCCATAGTATGTTCAGAAGGCCTCTGAGCTGCCAAAATGAAAATTATTTAGTTTGACAGACTTTTTTTTAAAAAAAAAAATACACTTTATTTTTTAGAGCAGTTTTATGTATACAGAATAATTGCACATAAAGTACAGAGAGTTCTGGAACTCTTTTTATATAGCAAATGGATGGATGGATGGATGGATGATGGGTGAATAGATGGATGGATGATGGATGAATGAATGGATAGATGATGGATGGGTGGATGATGGATGGATGAATGGATGGATGGATGGATGAAATGGGAAATAATGAGAATGTAACAAAGTATGGTGATGGGTAGAACTCATCCTAAGCCTTCCGACTTAGTCCTTATCTTTTCTTATATGTTCTCTTTAAGCTGACAGGACTATACGTAATTTTTAAAAAGATTTCTGATTTTTTAAAAGTTTTTGAAAGGTTAGAAGGGAAGGGAGAAACTTTGTTATTTAGAACAGTTTATTCAGTGATGAATAGTAGATATTTTTAAAATATTTGCTTAATGAGAGGCTTTGTATGTTGTTTACCTGAGATGTGTGTCAAATGGGCTGTCATGTTATATAGAGTAAGTTAATGTTTTTGACTTAGTGTAGCACATGATAATATGTTGGTGCATTTTTTTTCCCTGTAAAATAAAACTCTAGGTAATGAAGCTCTGTAAAGGTGTAGTGGCTCTGGTTAGTGAATGTTAGTTTCTTGCCAGGAGCTACCTTTCTCTGGCCACTGCTTCTCCAAGCTATTGTCAGCATAGGTCAAAGACAACCTCTCAGGTTGAGGCTGAGGTTCCACAAATTTGCAGGTTTAATTTTCAATATTTGACTTTATGCTTCAGTGTACATTAAAAAAGGAAACTTTAAATAACATACTTTATACTTACAACAACCTTGCTTGTTCATTAATTCAACAAATATTTTGACTGCTTGTTTAGGATTCAGTTTTCTCAGAGTTAGTTGTTATATCTGTCACCTTATCTATCTGCTTTACAGCTTCCAAATTTTTGTTCCTATTGTCTTATCTTCCATTCTTTTTATTGGGTTTATGACTTTTTAAAAATCCCTTCGCTATAATTTAGTGGGGTCTTGGAGTAAGAGGAGCTAAGGGGAATGTTAAATTTGTTAACTTTAATTGAAATTCCTCTTCTTATCTCTCTAAGCACTCAAATTTTTTTTTTTTTTAATCTATATCTTACTTGCATTTAAACTACTTCAGTGTTAAGGATTTTAGTATGTTTTATCAGCTAAATTACTCCAATATGTAAAAATTACAGTTAATTAAAATTCAAAAAGTGTTTTTGATTTAATTTTTAAATTTTACTAACAAGCCAAGGTTAAGGAATTTTGATATTTTCAATTAAAATGATTACTGTTATAAAAAAAATCTGAACTGGATGATATAAGGTTTAAAGTAGTTACACACACCACACCCTTGGCTGTTGAGTGGATTCAGACTCATAGCAACCCTATAGGACAGAGTAGAACTGCGCCATAGGGTTTCCAAGGAGCACCTGGTAGATTCAAACAGCCAGCCTATTGGTTACCAGCTGAACTCTTAACCACTATGCCACCAGAGTTTCTAAAAGTAGTTATAGATAGGGTCAAAAATGCCATTTTTCTTATATTCATGTTTATGAAAAGCAGTGGTAGTATTCATATACAGCTTTTTTATGTACTTCCTTAATAGTGTTCATAGTCTGTGATGGTTAAGATTGTATGTTAACTTGGCTAGGCCATGGTTCTCAGTGTTTTGGCAGTTGTATAATGTTGTGATCATTTCCTTGTTGAAATTTGATATGTGATCACCCACACGATAGAATCTGCTGAGTGGTATCGGCAGGGGCGGGGCCTGTGGTGGCTCACTGCCCCCTCAGTCTTCATCTCGCCACCCTCCACTGGCTACTCCCTTCCTGCTTCCCTTGCCAAGGTTTTTGGCTTGTCTCTCCGCCCTCCGCCAGCTACTTCCTTCCTGCTCCCCTTGCCAAGTTTTTGGCTTATTTTGGATCCAGGAGTGCCTCTTGTTGTCTCACCTCTGGTTCATGGGACTTGAGCTAGCAGCTTACCTGTCAGTCTTGGGATTCATCGATCTTCACAGCCTGCAAGCAAGAGTCCTCCTCCCAGACCTGCTGATCCTGGGTTTGCCAGCCCCTGCAGCTACGTGAATCAGGAGAAACCTTGCGGTCTGGCCTGCTGATCTTGGAATTCGTCAGACTTCACAGCCTGTGAACGGGAGCCCTGCTCTCCGACCTGCTGATCTTGGGTTTGCCAGCTTCTCTGGCCATATGAATTGGGAGAGGCTTCTACCCTGATCTGCATATTTGGGACATTCTAGCCTCTACAATTGCGTGAGCGGTTTCCTTGATATAAATCTCTCTATATATATTATACGCTTTACTGGTTTTGCTTCTCTAGAGAACCCAGCCTAAGACATAGTCATTGGAATTTTGTAAGAACAGTATAAATAATGTAAATCATGCAGGTGTGCAGCTTACCATGTTTAAAGAATTTAGTGTTGAGTGTAATACTTCATTATACCAACTTTCCTTCAAGATTAAATAAGGGAAAGTGGGGGAAGGAATACAGGGTTGAATAAAATTTGATAAGATCTAAAAATTGCTTTTAGAAACATTTCCTTTATAGATATTTCAAATTCCTTTTTAGCACGTAACTACTGTCTTTGTATACACACACACACTCTCATATATATATATATTTATTTATGTCCTTTAATTGATTTATTCTTCTATATACTATTGCTGCTCTAACTGGAAGCCTTTTTCACTGTAACATCTTATTCTAATAATATTCTGTTTTTGTGTTTTAACTCTGTGTTAACATCTGTGTTTTTTTTTTAATATGCAATAACTAGCATATTTTGTTTGCCCATCTGTAGTATTAAAAGATTAAGGATTCTCAGAGATAGTATCTGTTTTGGAGGCAGTTAACAGGAAAGATACTCTCTTTTCCTAGTGGTATTCATTTTAAAAAGTAAATTTTTTTAATTATGAGAGTAACAAAAGTGTTGTGTGTTTTAAGCCTAAATATTAAAAACCTTTCGTTATATTAGTCCCTTTAAGTTTGAAGGTACCAGTTTGAACTGGTATATGATATCCATATATTATAGGACAAATAGAGGGATTTGTAGGTTAAACTTCTCTAAGATTTGAAAGCTCCCCTTTATAGGTATAGACCCAATAGGAATAGTAATAAGTAATTAGCAAATTATTGTAGCACACTTATGGTTTGGCGAACAACAGCCTCAGTATCAATGTTCGTTCTTTCAAGCAGTTATGCAGGCATAAAAATGTTTGCAAGACCCAACCTGTAATGAAGCAAGAAATATCAAAAATTAATCTCTGTTCTTTTTATTTTATACTTACATAAATCCTATTATTAATTTGTGTTTTTTAAAATGTAAAGTTTAAGTTACTAAGGTATAAAATAAAGTACACTCTAAATATGAGCTTTATTAATGTAGCCATCTGGCAGTATAATTTTATTTGAATGAATATAATAGTAATGGTTCAGATTAAAAATGGATCTTTCTTAATCAATGTCTTAGTTATCTAGTGCTGCTGTAACAGAAATACCACAAGTGGATGGCTTCAACAAGCAGAAATTTATTCTCTCACAGTCTAGGAGGCTAGATGTCCTAATTCAGGGTGCCAGCTCCAGGGAAAGGCTTTCTCTCTCTGTCAGTTCTGGGGGACGTCCTTGTCATCAGTTTTCCCTTGTTCTAGGAGCTTCTCAGTGCAGGGACCCTGGGTTCAAAGGATGTGCTTCGCTCCCTGTGCTTCTTTCTTGGTGGCATGAGGTCCCCCTCTCTGCTAGCTTGTGTCTCTTTTTATCTCTTGTAAGATAAAGGTGATGGAGGCTACACCCCAGCTAAACTCCCCTTACATGGGATCAGGGCTGTGACCTGAGTAAGGGTGTTGCATCCCACCCTAATCCTCTTTAACATAACCTCATTAACAACAGACAGAGATCAGGATTTACAACCCATGGGAAAATTACATCAGATCACAAAATGGAAGACAACCACACAATACTGGGAATCATGGCCTACCCAAGTTGACACATATTTTTGGGGGACACAGTTCAATCCATGACAATTAGTAACATTATTTTTTAGAACTTTAATTTTTTTAAATCTATAGCTGATATTCTTTTCCATAATAAGAAGTAAATGGGGTCTGTACAAAGAGACCTAATACCTTTTTATTAAAAAAAAAATTAGTCTACTTTTGGTAGTTCACATATCCCTATCTTTTAAAAAAATAAAATAAAACCCACAAGAATAATGGTTGGTGTTGGTTTTGATAAAGGCTGTATAGAATGTGTGCTACTTTGTGTTATTCAAGTTGATCAGTGTTTATTTACAAATAAGATAATTTCCTGTTGATGTAATTTTTCCCTTCAGTTGTCCAATTGAATGCCTATTTTATAGGAGGTATTATACTAGCCATGAGAATGACACAGCCCAGACTTCAGATTACTCACAGAAGGATGGGGGAAGACAGACAGATATATAATAAATCATGCATGGGATGCTCCCCCAGCATCTAGGAATGACAGTGAATTCATCTTAAGGATATTAGAGAAAGCTTTCCAGAAGTGGGAACATCTAAGCTAAGTTAAAAGATGATTGGGAGTTAGTCAGATGATAGGAAAGAGTGGAGCGCAGCGGAGGAGTTAAGGCAGAGAATAGCATAGTATAAGTGCAGAGATGGATGAAGGAGATAGGGGAAGATGGCCCGCTGGAAGAGAACTTCGGATAGTTTGTTTGACCATAATACAGGGAAAAGGAAGTAGCAAGAGATGAGGCTAGGTTAGATGATGCTACGTTAGGGGAATTTGAATTTATAGTGTCTAAAATTCTCAATTATAATTAATTGGAATAGGAGAAGCAAAAGTAGCAGCAGGGCTATTGTTTATCAGATGCCTACCATGTCCCATGCACTGTTCTAAGTTCTTTATCTCTTTTATATTAACTTTTATACTTGAATAGCTAAAACAAGTATAAGATAGCATTAATAGAAACTTCATCAGAAAAGTCATCCTTTACCTTAATTTGGTAAAAATAGATAGACCATAGTTGACATCACAGGTCTGGAGTGAGACAGGATGTAAATCACTGAAATCAGCTTAAACATTCACCTTTTTTTTTTTTTTTTAAACAGTTAACTGATCAGTTCCTTAAGTTTTTTAAACAGCTTTATTGAGGTATACATGACACATATTAAAGTGCACATATTTGAAATTTAAAATGTATAATTGTACATTAAGATATACAATATGTTTACACCTGTGAAACCATCACCACAATCAACATAATCACCATACCCATCTCCCTCAAAAGTTTCCTTGTGGCTCTTTGTAATCTCTTCCTCTCTGTCCTCCTGACCCGCTTCTTTCTGATGTACTGTCACTATAGAGTAGTTTGCAAATTCCTTAAATTTTAAAATATTATCCTGGATCCATTTTATAGTTTCTTTTAAAATGTATACTCTAGGATCAGGTAGCGTTAAGCCATATTCCAAACATATTATTCCTGATCTAGTATTTTATCTTAATAGGAATCTCTAGTGTTCATTTTTCTGAAGAACCCTCAGAAAAGGCTTCATCAGCAGAATATCTAGATTTTAATGAACTCTTTATTTTCATCTTTGTTTTGGATGTGATCACATTACTTTGCCAAAAAATATACTAATGTGTCATGGTTTTAAATGGCTGCATAGTATTCTGTCCTATTGCTAGATGTGCCTTTATTTTTCAAGGCAATTCCTCCCCGTTGGACATTTAAGTTGTTTTCAGTTTTTTTATATTCATTCAACAAATATTTATTAAATTCTTTCTGTCTGTCAGATACTGTTCAGGGCATCAACTTGAACAAGACAGATAAGGCCCCTGCCTTTAGGAATTTACATTTCAGAAAAAGAGTGAATGAACAAACGAATGAGACTATTCCAGATTTGCAGTGAGCACTATAAAGGAAACGGGAGATGCACTAGAGTAGCTGAGTTGTAGGGGAGCAGTATGCTGCTTTCGATAGGCACTTTAGGGAAGACTTCTCTGAAAGATGAGACGCGCTACAAGAAGAACATCCTTGGGAGAAGGCACAACAGACCCAAAGGCCCTCACATGGTTCCTTTTTCTTCACAGACTAGCAGTTAATTAAAGACTGTCCTGGACCATTCTTAGTATTCTTTTGATAAACAAATTGAAGGAAAGGATACTCTGTGATGTTTCCAAATTTATGCTAAAATCCTATGTGAAGAGGGATACATTTCAGAAATATACAGGGAGTGGATAAAAATCTCAGCAAAGTTTCCTTGGGCAACTATAATAAAATGAGACTAATGAAAAAAATAATTAAAAGAGTTATTGTATAAGATAATGGATAAAATGATACGGATAACAGAGTTCTTTAGGAAACACAAAAGCTGAGAAAATCCATCTATTCGTTCAACAAATACTGAGCATCTACTATGTGCCAGCCACTATTCTAAGCAATAAACACAACAGATAAGTCTCTGCCCTCATGGGGCTTCCATCAGACAGATAATAAACAAATGTAAAATATTAGGTAGATAATGGAGTCCTTGAGTGGTGCAGACAGTTAACATGTTCAGCTGCTGACACAAAGGTTGGAGGTTCAAGTCCACCCGGAGGCATCTCGGAAGAAAGTCCTAGCAGTCTGCTTCCAAAAAGTCAGCCATTGAAAACTCTGTGGAGCACAGTTCTACTCTGATACACATGGGGTTACCATGAGTCAGAATCTGCTCAGTGACAGCTAGTCTTAGGTAGGTAATAAGTATTTTGAAGAAAACTAAAAGCAAAACTTCATATCATATCTGTATTTTAATAATTATTCCCAACATGTGCTATGCTAGTACTTATTATTCTGCTGTATATCTAATACTAAGAAGAGATAAAATAATCTAATATACCTACATATTTCAATCTTATTTGTGTTTTTCCAAGTTGTATGGAGGAGGTGATCTCATCTACCCCTGTGATTTCAGCTGGCATCTGTTTATAGTTGATACTCAGAGCTACCCTTTCACGAAGAATCTAGTTTTGTACCATTTCTTTATTTCAAGTGGGATTCTTGAAAGCATCCCAAGTTTAAACATAGAAGAGAGATTATTCATCCTCATCCCCCCAGATCTGCCTATTCTAATTCCATCATCATGTTTTTGGGTTATATCTTTGTATAAGTCCTGGATTCTATGCTTTGTTATCCATTTTAGTATCTGAGTTCTTGGGTTGGCACCAAGGACAGAGGTGTATATAGTGCCCAGCACAGAACTGTTGATTTTGATTAAAGAGCTAAAAACATGAGATGCTTTAGGAAAAAAAAAAATACAGAATAAATTCAAGGTAATTGGGTTACTAGTAAGATTTTATGATTTTAAGGTTTTATGATTTTCCCTGATTAATTTTCTGTGGGCATGACAGTCTTTATTTGAACTTTCTACTATAAATGTATGTTAAAATTTGTATTCTTAGTGTATTAAGTCTAGATAAATAAATAAGGATATTAGTGCTAAAAGATGTTCTGTAACTCTGGTGTACTGAGATTTAAAGATTTCTTTCTTTAAGCCTTTTCTCTTAAAAAATTTTGTAAGATTACACTGAGTTGTTCTTTCATTTCTTAATATTTGTTTGTTAAGTGAATTAAGAAGTTATTTTGTGATTTTTCTACATAGAAGTTTCTTTAAATTTTTGTTGTATTTTCAAACGTAGACTTGATTTTTAAAAGTAATTTTATATTCTTTATATTAAAATTTTGTAGTAGATATAATGGTTTATTGGAAAACTGAAAGATTTTTGTTACTATTTATAAGACTTTCCAAATTGTAAATAACTTTGTCTTCTTTTGTAGGTTTGTTGAAGTTTTGCACTGTAGGGTTTTGTGGAATTGGAAGCCTAATTGATTTCATTCTTATTTCAATGCAGGTAAGTTAGTAGTTTCAGTCTAGAAGGTGAACTAATTTTACTTTGATCCTCTCCTGGTATATTTTAAATTTTAATTATATTAGAAAATAGATAGGAATGCACGTTTCAGATTTTTATTCAGATGCTGGATCTAAGGGATCATGATCATATTTGCAAGTAGCATTCCCGGAACTGTGTTCTGTCACTTAGTAATTCTAAAAGACTTAAGTTCCTAAAGGATTCCATACTCAAATATGATTTGTAAACATGAGTTCAACTGGGTTTAAAAAATTTTTTTACTGGATAAATACTCAGAATGTTTATTATATGTGTTATGAGTTTCTAAGGATGTTGTGGTTATAGTATTTCCCAAACTTGTTCCTTTCCCTAATAATCACAGCCACTTTGTTGATTATTATGACAGGATAGTGATGAGAATCTGATATACATATAAACATTGTTAGGTGCCATGTAAGTCAATTTTGACTCATAGTGACCCCATGTGACAGAGTGGAACTGCCCCATAGGGTTTTCTAGGCTGTAACTTTTACGGAAGCAAATCACCAGATCTTTCTTCCACAAAAAATAAAGTTTTCTTTTGTGCTGGACAGAAACCCTTTATTAGTATTCTCTTTGTTGCAGACTACAGAAACTGAAATCCAACTAGCTTAAGCCAAAAAGAAAAAAAAGGAATGTATGGGTTCCCTGTAGAAAATCTGGGTGTGGGGCTGGCCTCGGGCAAGACCAAATCTGTAACCAAATGGTGTGTTCAGGACTCACCTCATAGGCAGCTCTGCGTCTCTGTCTGCATCCGTCTCGTTCTCTCTTGCTGCAGTGGATGTAGGGCAGGCATAGTTTGTGAAATGCTGTCCTAAGCATGTAAAACGTCATCAGATGTTTTCTGTTAGATTATACTGAGCTGGTGGTAGTTAACTCATGAGGATACTTAAATTAGAGAAAGAGATGAATTTATTTAAGTTGCAAAACAGCATTTTCAACAAGCATTTATGGAGCACTTAATGTCTTCAAGTTTATCTGTATTCATTTAAATTGTCATCAGTTTTGCTCTGCTTTTCCATACTGCATTTCCACTCAGTTCTGTCTGCTTGATATTATCTGTATACTTTAAAAGAAAGTCAAAACTAAGATGAAAAATGTGCAGGGTACCATACTGTGAGGAGGAGGCAGCATATGGGCCAATAAGATACCAGAATTAAACAAGGAAAATATTTGGTTTTAAAGTTGGAATTTTCCTGTCTTCATTCGCAAACATATGCCTAACTAAATACCCTGCCTTCTCTGTGGGGCAGGCAAGCAGGCATGAAGAGGCTAAGGTACATATGCGCATATGCTTGGAAATGGGTTTCTCATTTTAAATGAGGATACAAGGAATTTGATGTGTTACTGGGATTCTTCAAGTAAAGATATCAAGAATCCAATATCTTTGAAACTCAACCTTTTAGTTAATAGCTTGAGGCTAGGTTCTTTTTTATTTTTGGTGATATTATTGCTTTGTAGCTTTATTTATATCAAATTATAGAACTGATTTGATTCAGTCACTGCCTTCTGGTACATGAATGCCTGAACTTTTTGGAGCATATACTTCTTTTCTAAAAGGTCTCCTGGGATTGAGATTCTGCCATGTTTTGAAATTATTGAGACAGAACTAGAGTGTCTGAATCTCTGTTGTAAATTTTCCTAGATAAGACATTTTAACAGGTATTGCTTGTCTTAGATTGCTTTCCAATTGGAGGAAAAATAAAGGTTTTCAAATGTAGCCAATATGACATGTAGCCTTATCCTAATGTCATTTAATATATTTAAATTTGCATTTAAGTATATTAAATGACATTAGGCTGTTGATTACATCAGTTTTAGAGGTGAACTATTTTTTCAGAAAATCAAGGTTTTACTATATCAAAAACTATACTAATATTTATGTCCTGAATATATATTTTCTAACTTCTCATAAACCTTTTATGTTTTATCCATCATCTTTTTATGTATTCCCCTTTTCTTCCCATTCTCTCAATGCCTGTTTCGTCTTCTGCTGCTGCTACTACTGCTGCTGCTGCTTTTTCTTTTTTGCCATTAAATGTTATTCCCCAGTGACTTGTAATAGCAGTATATTTCTATTGGGCTGTGATGCCAGAAGCATATTGTGCATGGGCTCATGACCTATAAAAACATACTTTGCTTCACAGTGTTTATAACAAAAACTCAAGAAAATCCTCTTGGAGGAAAAATAGGTCTAATTACTTCATCTTTGAACCAAAACAATATAAAGTCTAATTGCATACATTGCTAAAGTTAAGTTTTACATGTTTCTGTATTAACTGAAAATACTTTTGTAAATTTTATCTATTTGCTAATAAACTTTGAAAGTTTCCTGTGTTCCTTTATACTTAAAAATATATGATACAACATAAAATAAGTGATGATAAAAAGAAAAATATATGAAAATAATAGGAATGAAGAATGGTATGAAACAAAACTTAGAATTAATTCAGTTCTTTTGTGCATTCAGAAACATCTAAGCCAGTGATACATGTGTAGCATACAGTCTTTCAACTGTTTACAACTGTTGTATATAACTCCATATATGTAGTTATCGTAAGGCAGTTCTGAAGATTTTATAACACTCATTCTTTTGTGCTTGTATAATTTTATGTACATCATAAAGGACAGATTAGACCATGTGAGTTTTTTTTAATCAGAAAAAAGTATGAGTATTTTGATTACGTTTAATCTTCACTCATACAATCTGAATGTTTTTAATTCTTCCAAAACCACTAATGTGTACTCTGCATAACAAAAAGAAAAGAAAGTTTCTCCTGTTAAGTGGAGACAAGACAGCCACAAATCAGAAAGATGAGGATACATAGAGGGATAATAGAAATATGAGTTGGGATGTAGAAAGTTGTCAGAAGGAAGTATGTTTGATTTTTTGTTAAATAAAACAAATGGAAGATACTACTTTTTTTTTTTTCATTCCTATTCAATTTACAAAGTAGATTTCCTTAAAGGGCTAGTAACTATATGAGCAGCATAAGTTCACAGAAGCACCATAATCTCCAAGACATTTAGGAATATTACTAGTACATTTATCAAATCTATAAAACGTCTCATTTATGTCGGTACTTTTTAGATGCCACTCATGTTAACACTCAGTTATATAGTGCTTTGTATTATTTTTTAACCTTTGCATACGTGGGCTTGACTTTTCAGACATAAATGTCTTGAGAAAAAAAAGATTTTTATTAATCTCCTAAAGCACCAGTAATGTGCTAAACATAGAACATGCCCTCAAAAATTTTTGCTGAGTTGAACAGAATGTAGTATGCCTTGTGAAAAGTGTGGCTCTGTGCCAATTAAGGGAAGATGAGAAGCTAAAAATGATAGTTTCTTAAAAATCATTGCTTTCCTTTAGGAACTCAAAGTTCTAAATTTTACAGGATCACTTGAGAGGCAAAGAATAAAAATGGAAGTTGTTGATAAATTATATATTAAAAAAAAACAAAACCCATTGCCGTCGAGTCGATTCCGACCCTATAGGACAGAGTAGAACTGCCCCGTAGGGTTTCTAAGAAGCAACTGGTGGATTCAAACTGCTGACCTTTTGGTTAGCAGCCGAGCTCGATTTAATCACTGTGCCACCAGGGCTCCAAATTAAATTTAGTAGGTGTCTTAGTTATCTAGTGCTGCTGTAACAAAAATACAAGTGGATGGCTTTAGCAAACAGAAATTTATTTTCTCACACTTTAGGAGACTGAAAATTCTAATTCAGGGCACTGGCTCTAGGGGAAGGCTTTCTCTTTCTTTAGGCTCTAGGGGAGGGTCCTTGTCTCTTATTCCTTGGCTCCTTGGTAATTTTTTTTTTTTTAATTGTATTTCAGATGAAGGCTTACAGAACAAGTAGTTCCTCATGAAACAGAAGTACACATGTTGTTTTATAACATTGGTTAACAACCCCACAACATAGCAACCCTC